ATATATATATGTATGTGTATGTATGTGTATATATATATATATATATATATATATATATGATGCAAAAAACTGAATAATGAAAAATTTTACAATTACGCCCTCTTCTGAAAAGAGCACAATCTTATTTGCATTTAAAACAACCAAAATGCCACAATTAGGATCAAAGCCCGAAAGAGTCAGAGTTTCATTGATCTGTGTGATATTTTCAGCTCAAACTCAAACACACACATTCTAGAGACATTGGAGCGGCATCTACAGCTTGCATAAAGAGGCAGAGGAGCTCCCATTTCATAAAACATCCCGGTGTAACTCCTCTAGTGCTTCCTGTGATTCAGATTCTCTTGCACAAACTCTTGAGTTTTTACACTGACTTTAATCCATCGATTAAGCAGCAGCTCTTTCAGCCTGTCATATTACGCTGAGATGTGTTTTTAAAATGCACGCTCCTGAATAATCCTCTGACTCAAAAACACATCATTCTGCAGAAGACGACGGGCCAGAACGACTGCTGCGATCAGAACACAGCCGATCGATAATCTCCACCCACAACACACACACACACACACACACACACACACACACACACACACACACACACACACACACACACACACACACACACACACACACACACACACACACACACACACACACACACACACAGAGTTGCATTTTTGTACGACATGATTTTATTGAGATTAGACGATTTTAGAAAATCATTTGTGCAGATCTGTCCATTTAAAAAGAATAGTTTCTGGGGTAAAAAGCGGTTTTGTCAGGCAGAATCCAGCAGAATGAAGGTGGAGGATTGCAGACGTAAAGAAGAGTTTATCAATATCGCCGCATTTGTTGACAGTCATACTGCAGAAAGCGCACAGTCTGTAAAACACACACATCTTTACACACACTACACTCTACATCTACAATGATCAGATTATTAAAACTGCAGAATGAAAACGCTGAGGATCAAGTAGAACAAACGCTCTGAGGTTTTCCTTAGGAGAAATGTAAACAATAAAGGGATAGTTCACCCTAAAATGACCATACCCTATAATTTAATCATATTATTCATCATTTCCATGTTGCATTTTTAAGGTTTCCAAAAGCATTCAGGAACAGAGGTCAGTGATTTTCATTTATGATTATTATTTCTTTATTGTTAGTATTTATTATATTAGTTATTTATTATTGTTACATAAACAGAGAGATCTGCTCTATAAGACACGCGTTACACTGCATAAAATGCATTTCTTTGTCTTGTTTCTACTCCAATATCTACAAACTCTTAAATCAAGAAGCATTTTCTAGAAAAGCAATACATATAGTCTTGTTTTAAGAAATAACGAGTCAAAATTAAGTGAGTTTTAAAATAAAACAAGCACAATAATCTGAGAATGGGGTGAGAGAAATAAGGCGTTTTCTTATTACATTACATTAATTATTTTGCTTCCTCAAATGTCAGATTATTTTGCTTGTTTTATTTAAAAACTCACTTAATTTTGACTCATTATTGCTAAAAACAAGATTGGATTTATTACTTGTCTAGGTAAGGCTTCTTGATTTAAGAGTTGTTAGATATTTGGATGAGAAACAACATTAAAACTCAATATAAGACAAGCATTTTGTGCAGTGTAACCCCGAGAGGTATATATGTTTCAAAACAAAAGTCTCTATCAACAGCTTTATACAGCATGGAAGAGTCAGAATAAATCGTAAAACTGACTGTGTTTGCTTGAAAGAAGAAAGTCCTGAGGTCACTGAGGATAAGTGCACTGAGGTTAAATTATGGGGTAATTGTCATTTGTTTTGGTGAGCTATTCTTCTAATCAACATTAGTCTGTAAAATATGTTTGTTCATCACTCATTCTGGAAGATAAAGACGTTAGTAGCGTCCCGAACACCATCACAGACGTATATAAACCATCCACAACACTGAGGTCTGAATGCAAACCCAATATACTGTCAAATACTGTCTGTTTTCACTCGTTCATCTCAATACACTCCACAAAACACTGTACTTAAAGTTTTTGTCTTGTTTCTAGTGCAAATATCTGAAAATTGCTAAATCAAGAAGCATTTTTAGACAAGCACAAGATATAGTCTTGTTTTCAGAAATAATGAGTCAAAATTAAAATTACAAGCTAAATAATCTGCCAATGGGAAAGTGGAATAATCTGATTTTTCCTTTTGACATTAAATATTGCACGTACCCCGTTATCAGATTATTTAGCTTGTTTTAATGAAAAACTCACTTAATTTTGACTCATTTGTTCTTAAAATAAGACTATATTTATTGTTTGTCTTTGAAATGCTTATTAATTTAAGAATTTGTATATATTTGGGCTAGAAACAAGACAAAAAAAACTCTACGTAATAGCAGCATTTTGCAGAGCACCTACACACACTACTGCTCATCTTAAGACGTTTAGTGTCAGTGAATGATTAATAAACTGCTGATTGATCTTAAAGTTAAACAAAAATGAAAAATAATCCCTGATTCTTTCGTTTAATGGTCGTGGAATCCAGGCATGGGGAAGGGACGCGCGAACGCCTCCACACGACTGCGCAGATCCGCGATTCGAGAAACCGTCTCTGCATCTTCCAGAAGGAAACTCTTAAAATCAGAGAGCTTTTCTGAAGAAAGAATGAAAAAATAAAATAAAATTACAGATGCTAAACAAAACAGAATGATGCAAAACTAAATGAAAAGCATCAAAGCTGCATTTCACACCCATAAAACACTTATGCATGCTTATAAAACACCCATAAAACACTTATGCATGCTTATAAAACACCCATAAAACACTTATGCATGCTTATAAAACACCCATAAAACACTTATGCATGCTTATAAAACACCCATAAAACACTTATGCATGCTTATAAAACACCCATAAAACACTTATGCATGCTTATAAAACACCCATAAAACACTTATGCATGCTTATAAACACTCATAAAACACTTATGCATGCTTATAAAACACCCATAAAACACTTATGCATGCTTATAAAACACCCATAAAACACTTATGCATGCTTATAAAACACCCATAAAACACTTATGCATGCTTATAAAACACCCATAAAACACTTATGCATGCTTATAAAACACCCATAAAACACTTATGCATGCTTATAAAACACCCATAAAACACTTATGCATGCTTATAAACACTCATAAAACACTTATGCATGCTTATAAAACACCCATAAAACACTTATGCATGCTTATAAAACACCCATAAAACACTTATGCATGCTTATAAAACACTCATAAAACACTTATGCATGCTTATAAAACACCCATAAAACACTTATGCATGCTTATAAAACACCCATAAAACACTTATGCATGCTTATAAAACACCCATAAAACACTTATGCATGCTTATAAAACACCCATAAAACACTTATGCATGCTTATAAAACACCATTAAAACACTAATGCATGCTTATAAAACACCCATAAAACACTTATGCATGCTTATAAAACACTCATAAAACATTAATTGTGCTTATGTATCTATCTATAGATATAATTGTGCTTATGTATCAATCTATATATCCAATTGCTCTTATGCATCTATTAATTATATCAAATTGTGCTTATGCATGCTTAAAAAAAACACTCGTATAACACCAATTGTGTTGTCTAATTGTGCTTATGTATCTATCTGTACATCTAATTGTGCTTATGTCTATAAATATATATATATATATATATATATATATATATATATATATATATATAGTGCTTATGTATCTATCCATATATCCAATTGTGCTTATGTATCTGTCTATATATCCAATTGTGATTATGTGTGTGTGTATACGTATACATATCTATCTATATATCTAATTGCCCTTATGTATCTATCTATATATCCAATTGTGCTTATGTATCTATCTATATATCTATATATCCAATTTTGCTTATGTATCTATATATCTAATTGTGCTTGTGCATGCTGTTAAACACTCATATAACACCAATTGTGTTGTCTAATTGTGCTTATGTATCTGTATATCTAATTGTGCTTATGCATACTTTTAAACACTGAAGTGTCACTAATCAAAATGTAGTTTTCAATATCTAGTAAATATCTATGATCAATATTATAATCTATTCAAATCAATATTATAATAAATATCCAGTAATGTGAATCTATTTCTCTGATGTAAAGCTGAATTTTCAGCATCATTACTGATCAAAAATATTTATGATTGTTGCCATATCGGTTCATATAACAGGACATATTGTGGACGGAAAGCGTAACCGTAACAAAACTTAAGCGCTTATAAACTGAAACATATTAGTGTAAACAGGGCCCGAGTCCCAATCACACACATACACACACATACACATACACACACTCATACACATACACACAAACACACACGCGCACGCACGCACACAGCAGAACTTAGACTCACTGGTCTTCTTCTTGACGTCCTGCCCGATCTGGATGCCCTGATGAATGAACTCCACGACCTTCTGGAAGTCACACTCCTTCAGCTGCCGAGAGGTCAGAGCTGGGGTACCTGAGAACACACAGAGAGAGTGAGTGAGTGTGAGTCAGACACATGGAGAACACAGCCAGATTACTGTGTATGTATGTGTGTGTGTGTGTGTGTGTGTGTGTGTGTGTGTGTGTGTGTGTGTGTGTGTGTGATTGGGACTCGGGCCCTGTTTACATTAATATGTTTTAGTTCATAAGTGCTGAAGTTTTGCTATGGTTACACCTTCCGTCCACACTACCCCTGAGTTTTCCAGCCCTGAAAATAGAGTGTTTTGGAAACGCTGAAGAGGCCGTGTTCATTTTAAAATGCTGCTGCTTTGTGTCAGTGTGGATAAGGGAAAATCTGAAAACGGACACATCTGAAAACAGAGGCGGGACTGCAGACACTCACCTCTCTGATTGGGGCTGTCCCACAATAATGAGGACAAAGTTCAGTCTTGCATCCTCTCCTTAAGTTCAGACTTCACAAGTTTGATAAATCTTAGGGAACAGTGTAGGCTACTTTATAATGTTATATACACCACCCTGGCTACGCTGTTTCCCCATCCTAACAATAAAATGAAAACATGATATAAGGAACTGCCTATTTTCATCTTGATGTTTAAGCTGCAGTAGGTGATTGTCTTCAGACGCATGTGTTGTTGTGCTGGTTGAAAGTCTCTTCACAGTCCAATAGTAATGATGACAGTAAATGATCTGAATGTGTTTATATGTGTTTTTATATTCTGGGTAAAGCATAAAACTAAAAAATGTTCATTGAATTAAATAGAGTCGGACCGTCATCTCCCTTAATTCCGATAGGCAGGTCAGACTGTCTGTCAGCAAATGTAGATTCGGACTTCTGCGCATGTGTTCACGCAGATCTGCCATTAGCGCGTGCCCGTCTGCATCACAAACGCATGCGTGCGAGCGAGCTGCAGGCCGCTCGCAGATGCCAAGTCGGAGACGGAGGCGCAGAAGGACAGCCGAGCTCGGGCCGATTACTGTAAAGCCAGGCGCAGGTATAATTCACCCTTAAAGCGGCCGAGACAGACCGGGAGAAATCAAATGCTGCATTGAAACTTTTAAAATCCTGAATCAGTATTGGAGTTACTTTAGCACGCTGGAGGAAGGACGACACCATGGCTGAAGTATTACTGTTAGACAGGTCATGTTCTGTTTTAAAACGATTATGTTAGATTGTGTTGTGTTATGAATGGGTTATATGCACAGACGTGTTGTTCAGCCACTGAAATCTCCCGCTGAAAGATTGATGATTATTTTCAGTTTCATAAGGTTCTTTGACAGCATCTATAATGTAGATTTATATTTAGTTTAACAACAAAACATCAGTAAATAGCGCTATTCCGCCTAGCCTGCTTTACTGAGCTGAAGTTGCTTTTATATTCACATTGGGTCATTTTTGAACAATGACAGCCTTCCTGTACTGTTTACCGCTACTCTGAATATTCGCTCTGAAATAGCATGTAAGTGTGGCAAAGTATTACATGTAATTCCTGCACAGCGCTGGCACTAACTAACTGGCGAATGACATGAACTAGTCTGTCGGCTGTTGTGACGCGGTGCGCGCGCTCGCGATTTCAGGGGATGTGGCTTTAAATCACAGTCCCTCCCCGCCGTCCAAAGATAATATGCTAAGCGGTTAGCATTTTGGCAGATCACCTACTGCACCTTTAACTGAACAGACAGCAGAAATGTGGAGGCGTCGTGTATCTGCATATTTATATGACTTCATCTTCACTGTATGGATATTTATAACAAAACACAGCCTCATAGCTTATAACTGCCTTCTTTCATTTTCATTATAAATATAAAGCATACCGTCTCTTTTGCTGAGTATCAGTTTTAATAATCAATAACGGCCATTTTAAAAGTATAACGTACAAAAGGTTTATACAATATTAGAAATAAAGGCAAGTGATCAGTCAATATGCAGAATCAGTGTATGCGGTTATATTAATTATTATATTAACTTATCTCTGCGCTCAGCCAAAACACCTGAGAACAAGTAATAGATGTAGAAGACAGAAGAGTCTTTGGATAAAAGCAATAGGAGTTAAGTATCACGTTTAACAACTACAGTGAGAATAAATCCAGAGGAAGATCCTTGGTGAACTGTCCGACATGTGCTGCTCTCATCTGGGGAGGTGTGCTCAAAGACCCCGCTGACTGCCTGGAGCTCAGACGCGCGCATACGTTGCCGTGCATGCCTGTGTGTGTGTGTGTGGTCACGTGATACATTTTTAGCGGTGTATTATGAACGAAGAGTTGTTCAGAAATGCTAGGTGAAACGCCAGATTTAAAACTAAAATGTATTAGTGTAAACAGGGCCTCAGTCTTCCAGGTGTGTGTATGTGTGTTCCTCACCCAGTCTCACGCCTGTTTCACACCGCAAGCGTCAGCGGCGCGTGAGCAGAGCGTGAGCAGCGCGTATGTCGAGCAGTAGCAGCACGCAGGCGTTTGCCTTTCACACCAGCTGCGTCTGCAGCGCGCAGCTCTTCGGCAGCTGCTGCTGAGATCAACCTATCTCTGTCTATTCTATCTAGTTACCCATGTCTCTCTATATACAAATACACTTTTTAAACTTTTCATCTGCACCAAGGCCCCTCCTATGCTGTTTCTTTAACCTGCAAATGTTTATTTTACAAATTTTATAGATCAAATAGTGCTGTATGCTTCTCAAGCTAACTTATATGAGAAGTGTCTACAGTCAGAAGACAATCGCCTGTGATATCATGTCATTTGTTTTTTGATTATCAGGTTGCTGTAGACCTAGTTATAATAATATTTATACAATATAGTTATAATGATATCTATACATGATCAAACTAGTGTTACTTTCTCCGCTTCAGTGATGTCCAGCGGCAGAATAACAGCTCGTTAATTCATGCTCGTGCAGATGATGAGACGGACAAAAGTAACCAATGCATGCCATTCTTTTACTTATTTTCGTGTTGTCAGATTCACAGTGCAAACAGCTCCCGGTAGGAATAACTCGAGTGAACATAAAACAAAGCCGATTAAAACTTTCTTCCTCTGCTCAGCTGCACAGAACACAGCGAGCTCACATCATCCAGCATGCGTGTCGCACTACACTACCCACAATACACTTCCCTATGGACTACAAATCCCGTAAATATTCTATTTCCCCTCTCCTACAACACTAGTGTGCAACTTAAGCAAAACTGATAGTAAAATTGTTTTACATTCGGTTTTGTAGTTCGGGCCTAAATAAATGTTTGTTGTCGTTTTTAATCGTTTTAAGTTCATTTGAATGACTATATATAAACCATTTGACATTATTAACGCATTTATTGGGTAAAATTGCTACTTTTTTTGTTTTGGTCATTATCAATGCACTGTCACTTTAATTGAGCTTGAGCAGCGCGTCAAAAATAGACCCAGCGACTCGGCGACGCTCACGCCTCGCTCTGACGTGCTGCTGCTGCGTGCGGTATGAAAGCTCTAATCTGTTAACACGGACGCCGAAAACACACGCGCTGCTCACGCTCTGCTCACGCGCCGCTGACGCTTGCGGTGTGAAACAGGCGTCAGTCTTCCATGTGTGTGTTTGTGTGTTCCTCACCCAGTCTCAGTCCTCCAGGTGTGAGTGCGCTCTTGTCTCCAGGGCAGGTGTTCTTGTTGGCTGTGATGGACACCAGCTCCAGCACTCGCTCCGCACGCGCTCCGTCCATCCCCTGCGGCCGCAGATCCACCAGCACCAGGTGATTATCAGTACCACCTGATGAAGAAGACTTTTTATTATGCAAAACTAATGTTTGTAAGGGGTTTAAACACAGTTGTGTGTGTCAGCAGTGTGTGAAAATATCCAGTCTCTAATGATAAACGTCAATGAATTGTGTTTGTTCTAATCATACTTGATGACTGAAACACTTTGATTGACATTCCCCCTTTGTACGTGTCATCAGAGGGGAAAAGCCCCGCCCACTAGTGCTCATCTCTCCATCTCATTAGCATGTCCAGCAGCCCTGAGTGGGAAGCAGCCGTTTGTCCAGTCGCCATTAGAGTGTTTGAGCTGCTGAAGATAATGTCAGCATAGACTAAGAGGATTATAGATGTGGAGTGACAGGAGCGACATAGACTGACACATTCTGCAGCAATCTGCAGGTTTTTTAATGTTTTTAGAGGCAAAACTCAAACTAAATACCACCAAACTGCTCAGACTACTTTATAATTTGAAGTCTACTATGCAAACATTGTCAAAAGTATGAAGAAATATGGTTTGTTTTCCTCAAAGCAAAGGAGGCACCCTTATATGGTCACTAATGTAACCTGGTGGTCATGTCTGGTATTGCAGCTAAATAAAATCTGATACTAAAAGGTGCTTTTTTTGAGGAACTATTTGAGATATCAACATCAAATTTGGAGTATAATTTGTCCAGATATATAGTGTCAGGATTCTGCCACTTCAGTCTTGTTAATTCTTGTTTTGGTGGTTCAGACACTAGTCCTGTCATGTCTTGTATGTTGTGCTTGGCTCGAGTTTTCTCGGGTGGAGTACTCCTTTTCTATCATCGTGTTTTTTTTGTATGAGCCTCGTTTCGACTGTTATTAGGCCGAGGTCTGGACGTATTTGTGACACACGCTCTTGTCCTGGTGTTTGTTCTGTCTGCAGCATGGTGTTTCATTCTCAGCGTCTCAGTCTAGTTGGTTTCGCTTGGCGCTGGGATGAAACATGCACATTGCATGTGTGAGTGCACAGTGAGTTTTTATTTATCGTGTACTCGTGTGTAGCGTTCAGTCTGCTGTTGGTGTTGTGTTTAGCACATGGTGCATGTTTACGTGTGCCGTATG